GTGTAGGAACGCGCTGTAAAACGCCCAGGTGTGAACCAGGCCTAAGAATATTGTCAGCCATGATGCTAAAGATACTTAAAGGAGAACTATGAGATGAGTGATTTCCACTCACCTCAGACCCCATTCACATGTAGCGACATACCTTTGCAGCGGCCGGGATAGCGTGACTTTCGGGGCGACGTTCCAGCGACGATAAGATATAGGCTTGGTTTGCACTTTGGTACACACCTTGCTAATGGACGTGCCTTGTAGCGCACCCCATTACTTGGTAATGCACTGCTGTGTATATACACGGAAAAGTATGTGCATCTTCTTTTTTCTTTTTTTTGCATTAGGCAGCCCAGCTAAATGAAAAAACTTCCCTAACACAACGCACAATAAGAAGCAGAGTAACATGTCAGTGCATTTGTGGTAATGAATGCACCACTGAAAAGTGGTGCGCAATCTTGCCAGCCACCCAAACACTGTGCAACAATCCTTGACCATATTGTTGATGTGCCATTTCAGACAAGCCGTATGATTCAAAATGACTGCACAGATTGGGGGCTTGTTCTGTTTAAAAAATTTAGAAAAGGAAAACCTACATTAATCATGAACCCCCTGTCCCAAGGAGGAGGTGTTTTTATGATCAGTGAGTAGCTTGCTTTTTTATTTTGCCTATTGTATTGGGATGTAACTGGTTTGGATGGGTCACTGGTCATGAAGCCAATTTTATGGAGTGTGAAACAAACTTTAAGGCTCATTCAGATGGGCGTGCATTACCATACAGCGTGCATATCCGTATAATGACCCGACCCCGGAATTGCGTCCAAGTGCAGGCACCCAGACCCGTATGGATGTGCAGGTTCGGGTGTGCGCGTAATTGCGTGTAGCCGCGTCCTCCCATTGGAAAGAACAGGCTGCTGTGCGCAATTACACGTAGCACCTGTCCCTTCCGGAATCTGCTAATTTACAGGCATGCTGTATGGACCTGCACGGCCATCTGAATGAGCCCTTATGACGGCATCCCACTCTTATTATTGGATTATATATTTTATATTCTGAAGAATAAAACAGATGCTGGGATATGCACAGATAGGCAGGAGCAGACTATCTGGCACCCATGGGGATCGGTAGGTACCTGATAACTGTAGTTTCTGGTTGCTTGAGAGTTAATAGTAATTAGCTAACTTCTGCAGCCGATAGGCGAATGTAAGCAGCCGGGAGCAGTAGCCAGCCTGCTATTTCAAATTTCAAAAGCCAATAGTAGGCTGGTTATTGAAGCCCCGACCACTGAGCAGAGGAGTGGACCTAAGGCCTGGTTCACAGCTGAGCGGTTTTCTGCAGGCAAAAACAGAAAAGGCAATGCATTCGAATGGGGCTCGTTCACACCTGCGCAGACAAAACTGCGCAACGTGCAAAAAAGTACACGCGTTCTGATTGTGGTTGTAGCTGCAAACACGTGAAAAAACACGTTGAATTGCAAACCCTCAGGTCCGCTCTTTGTTCAGTGGGTGGGTGCAATAGACAGCCTGCTATTGGCTATTGCAATTTGAAATAGCCAATAGCAGGCTATTGAGCAGAGGAGCGGGGCTGAGTAGGAAAGTTCTTTCTCAGGTCCGCGTCTGTGCTCAATGGGCGGGTACAATAGCCAGCCTGCTATTGGCTATTGCTATTTGAAATAGCCAATAGCAGGCTGTCTATTGCTTCCGATTGTTTACATTCTGCTGCCGACCATGGAATCTAGCCACTGGCTGGTAGCAGAAGGTAAACAAAGGATTTTACTAGCAACTAAATGAATTTAGTTGCTAATTAAATTTTTTTTAGTGTGCACCAAGCAACCAACATTTTTGAAATGTGCATCAAGCCATCGGCAAACAAAATCGTGGACATACTATGTCCATTATGTCCATGATTTGTTTTTGCTGGTTGCCTGAACATCGGATGGATTGGTGGATTGACTCTAATCATATCTAACATGAAGATTTATTTCTTAGTTAAAGGAGAACTATGGGGTCAGTGTTTTTCCCCATAGTTCTACAATTAACACCCAGTTTTCTGGTCTCAGGAAAAGCAAGAAATCAGCATGTGGTTTATTTGTAAACTCGGTGACAGATTTCCTTTAAAGTAAATATATATATATAGCGTGGCTTTGTAGCGTGCCCGTTACCAAAACAAAGAAAGACAACTTCAAAAGCATTGCTAGTTTTGTCTAAAGTGTAGTTTCCCAGGAAACAGCGGGTCTCATTTATCGAAGCGCCTAAAGGATGAACTGCCTGTGTTCCCTTAAGCAATGAACGCTATTCTATACGTGGAAGGAGACTCCGAAGAAACAGTACCCACTTTATGCCAACGACCATTTTTATTGCATCACAAGTATGTTTGTTTTTTTTGGGTTTATATAAAAAGCAAGTGCAGGGTTTGACCAAAAAATGAATGTACCATACATAAGGAGGGTTAAACAGTGGGAAAAGATGTAAAAAAATGTTTAGAAATGTAAATAAATGATCAATTAAAAAAAAAAAAAGATTTTTAAAAAAATGAGAAAAAAATTAAAGATTATGAAAAAATAAAAAAACAATTGGGCGGAGCTAGAAGTGACAGAGCTAGCCGGCTCCGCCAAGTTGTCCTTGTTTAATGACAGTTCATCGTCCACAGGTAGCCTAGGGACGCTGATCTATCATTGCAACTGGGCGGAGCCAGCCGTGAGATCAGCCCAGCCCAGCTGTCAGTTGGGAGGCCTTTGGCTGGCCGTTCGGCCCACTTCGGGTTTCACTTCGGCTCAGTCGGGCCGAAGCATATGCCTTCGGCTCGGCTGATCCGCTCGGCCAGCTTCGGGAGCTGTATGGGCTATAGTGAATAGCCCGTACAGCAGTCCTTCAGTTCTACTGAACCGAAGGGTTCCAGTGGCCGAAGCCAGCCGAAGGATCAGCCGGAGCTATGGCTGATCCTTTGGCTAGCTTTGTGAATAACCCTCATAGTTTCTTTATAAATTACAAACTCAAAATGCAAGATGTCACATTTATGAAATTAACTACCTCCCAGCCGGCCGTTGTGTATACACGGCCGGCCGGGAGCTTCTTGGATGTAACTGGGCGTGTATACACGACCTGTTACATCAACCCGCTCGGGCGTGGCACGCGCAAGCGGGAAATGCCGGTTATTTAAAAACAGGCAGCGATGCCTGTTACTATACAAGCGATCCGCCGGCTATAGAGTCGGCGGATCGTTTGTATGAGGTCCCGTGACGCGAGTGCGCGCAATTTTTAAGCTTGACATGTTTGGTGTCTATTTACCCGACGTGACCCCGTCTTTTATATTTTACCAAAAAAGTGGGTAATATTAGTTGTTTTTTAACATTAATGTTAAAAAAAATTTCAGGAATTTCTCCTTATTATAGTAAAAAATAAAACCCCAGTGGTGATTAAATACCACCAAAAGAAAGCTCTATCTGTCCCCAAAAAGTGGTATACAATTAATTTCAGTACAGCGTTGCATGACGGAATAAACGTCAGTCAAAGTACCGCAGCGTTGAATACTGAAAAATGGCCTGGCCAGGAAGGGGGTCTAAACCCCTGGTTTTCAAGTGGTTAAAGGGACCTGGATAATGGAATTCCAATATAAAAGTCCAACACATTGGGATTTTGCAGCATCATGTGTGCTTACAGGGATTCCAGAAATCATCCTTTTTTTTTTTTTTTTTTTTTTAAACATACATTGGCCCAGCTTGGCTCAGTGTAAATATTCATATCTGTTATCCAGAGGGCTGCTGGGTATGCTGAAAATCACTGTAGCAAGCCACACTACACACAGCATACGGCTCTAGCAGCTTCTCCTCGCACGTTGAATGCAGGGGGTCTCCCCCCCCTCTCCGCTGCCATAAACCCCTGTCATATTTTACTGCTGTACAGGGCTCTGTTAGAGAGATTTCCCCTCACTTCCTGTTCTGTTGACTTTTAAAAGTTATACTGTATCTTTAGCCTTAAGTTTTATTTTTTTGTACTTTTTGGATAGAGTAGGGAAGGGTTAGAGTAGGGAAGGGTGCAGGATTTACATCTGTACACAAAGTAAGTACCTACGTATACCCACGTACAGCCTTTGATTTCTATGGGAGCCTATATGCAGCCCCTGTGGCTCCTTGGCATGGGGGAAGTACGCTGGTATTTACGTTGTATGGGCTCAGCCGCCTGTGTGCATGAGTCCAAACTGAAAGCTAAAAAAACAACAGCTCCAGTACTTAGTACTTCCCAAAATCCAGAATTGCACCCATTTCTTTTAGAAAGCTTTATCTGCCCATCCACACCTAGGTTTTCCGTGGACATGCGCCGAACGTGTGAAAAAACACGCGCTTTGGCGTGTATTCATGGAACTAGCCAGAAATGTGCAATGTAGTTGCAGTGCCATTACTAGCTAATGGCACTCCAAACGCCGGCGGAGAATACGTGCATGCATTAAGATGCTGACACACGCGCAGGAACAAAATGCTGGATTTCTGTAGCAGAATCTTTTATATGAGCTACTTTCCTGTGTTTGTCGTGCGTGAAATTAATAGGGGTCCACAGCAAACGTATGGAAAAAAAAATGTGAAAGTGGCACGCGTTCCCGGTGCGCTTAGGTGTGAACAGGGTGTCATTCTGTCATGTTACATAAGCCTCTAAGAGACAATGAAAAACAAAGGCTGTTTTTCTGAAATGACACTGCGGTTGTGTTGTGTGGCCAGTTCACATTCTAATAGGGCTCAGTAGAAATCTTAATGCTGCTGATATGCATCTTCTCAGCCCTCATAGAATTCCAAAATCCATCTATAGAATTATAATAAGGACAGTTAGCAGAACCTTTGATGCAATATATACAGATTTACACCTGAGTTATTTAATGACGAATATAACGATCACTGACTGCAGAAGTTTTTATATTAAAGTTATTTTATTACTAATAGTCACAGCAGTCGGCTGGATTTCTATTTGTTTTCTGCATAACAAATGTGACCTTTTCTACTGTTTTCTGTCCACATTCTCTAGACTCTCAAGAATGAATCTGGCTGAGATGTGCGATAATGCTAAAAAGGGGCGAGAATATGCGCTGCTTGGAAATTATGACTCTTCCATGGTTTATTACCAGGGAGTAATCCAGCAAATTCAAAAACACTTCCAGAATATTAGGGATCCGGTGGTGAAGACCAAGTGGCAGCAAGTGAGTGCTTGCATGGTGCGCAGTGTCTTTCTGTATTGTCAGTCCGTTATGTACTGTGTGTTTCACAACACTGGGGCTTATTACCCAGAGCAACCCATGAGGTTTCTGTTTATGTATTCTACAATGGAATGAACTGGAATATATTTATTTGCTGCGGTTTAAATGATCAGGGACTACTATTATGACTGGGCAATGTTCATTAAAGAGTAAGTGGCAAAAAAAATGTCTTCATCAATTTTTCAACTTCATCCAAGTCTATGTATTTTGCTTGTGATGGATATTTTCTCACCTTTTGCATGCCATTTCAAAAGGTACACAGCATACACTGCCTGTCCCAAAAAAAAGTCACCACCTGGATCTTACCTAAGCAAATGGGTCAGAGCCTTCCATTAGATAATAGGTCTAGGTTCAGCAACGTTATCTCCCCAACAAATGATGTCACCTGCCCACCTGAATATACTGAGTGACCAGGCTTTTCCATCAATGGATTTTTTTCTTCCCTGATGACACATTGGGCATATTCCAAGATGACAATGTAAGGATTCATCGGGCTCAGATTGTGAAAGAGTGGTTCAGGGAGCAAAAGACATAATTTTCACACTTGAATTGGCCACCACAGAGTCCAGACCTTAACCCCATTGAGAATCTTTGGGATGTGCTGGAGAAGACTTTACACAGTTGTTTTTGTGACACTCTGGACGGAAATAAATGTTACATTTCACATGCCTATCGAAATGATACCATGGCAAATGTGTGCTGTAATCAAAGCTAAAGGCAGTCCCATGAAATATTAGGATACGTGACTTTTTTTATTAGTAGTAGTCCTTTAACATTTCTAGTTTGAAATGGATAACTTCTGATGCCCAGGGGGAAAATAAACCCCTAAAATATGAATATTATTTGTAACGGACGCTAGGTGGGATATCCACATCTGGACAAAACAACATTTTTTTTTTAATGTAGGCAAAAAGTAAAAAATGTGTACACTTTAAGCCTCATTCACACGGATGCAAAGACCCGTACATCGTAAGGGAGACGTTTGTTTATCCGCCTGGGAGTGAAAGGTGTGTGCATGCAGCCACGGCCAGCAGCCTGTAAGAATTAATGACAGGATGAGAGATGCTGTGGATGTACAGAACTTCCTGCACATTCCAGCATGGACATGCATGCAGGCACAGATTCACAGCCCTGGACAAAGACTGTCTGTGTCCAGGGGAATACATCTGTATCTGTACGGATGTACATGTTCAGATGTGCGTTTACCAGACCACAACCTGGTATAACCACATCCTGTCATTGATTTATACAGACAGCAACACCCGTGACTTCTGCTTCCCTCCTAGCCACATAAACCAATGCCTCTTTCACAATGTACAGGCCGCTGTGCCCGTGTAAATGAGGCATTAAGCGCATCAATATGGGCACATCCAAATAAAAGAGACATTTAAATCTATTTAAAATAAAGTTTGCAGGACACACTGGAAATAAATAGAATATAAAACCCTTATGTAGAAGCAGGTTGCATAACTACAGTTCAAAAGCAGATACTTGAATTGTTCATTACGTTCATTCAATAATCATCATAGATTCCCAAAAACAAAACGAACCGCCTATAACGTATGTAAGAAACCAGGTGTGCAATGTGTTCTAAATTATATATTAATCCAAATGTTATCATGACATCCAAGTTATGTTCCTCCAATAATCTGTATATTTATGTGGCTGTTGAATTGGTGTGTGAGACCAGGTGTTATCCTCCTCCATCCAAGTTAAACAGCTATAGTATTCTGACAGTTGGCGCCCGCTGCTGCTAGAATACCCAAATAGTGACTGCAGCTAATTAAATGCATTGACTGGCTGGCAATTTTCGGGCCAGCTCCTTCGACAAGAGGCCAGTGAGTAATCAAATCTTGTTGAGCTGGTAGGTCCACACACTGTTATCATTGTAAAATTCTGAAGCTGGCCATAGACTAATAGATTTCTTTCATTCAGCCCGGAATTAGACAAAATTCTGAAGATGGACATACACTGATTTCTTTTCTTTAGACCGTGGGCTAAACAAATAGAAATTGAACAGACAACACCATCACTGCTAAACAGTGTGGATGGAGGAATCCTTCCCCCGCTGGGCTATTGTATTGTGACAGCTGGTGCCCGCCACTGTTAGAGTACCCAAACAGTCATAACACCTAAATTAAATTCTCCAACCGAGTGTACACCACGTCTAAACAATCGTTTACATCACACTATGTAAAAAAGAGTGCCTGTTCAGCTGACAATTTTTATCTCGACTCCTGAGCTGGCAGGGACTTTGTCGACGCGTGTGGCCAGTTTTAGGCAGGAGTTGCAAAAAACTATATCTGTTACAGTGCTGTTCTATGTCCAGCAATTCCCTTTCACATTCACTTCAGTACTACTATCGAGCAGATCAGTATATTATAAGATAGCTGCATAAGGAATCCAGCCCTCTCATTTTTTTGCCATCCAATACCTGGTCATGAACATGTAGCGCTCACCCCCGAAGGAGCCGCTGAATAATGAAATAGGTTCTCCTACCTGTTGGTTCCAGCTGCCAGTCCCCTTTGATCAGCAACAGCACACCCACACTCATGGACAGAATGGCTCGAGTCTTAGGGTTCTTTTGGGATATTTATTTGCAAGTTCAATAGGAGAGAGAGGGTTTAGAATCTGTAGGATGCCCTTGGAAATACTTCAGAGGACAGCTTTCTCCCTTAGCAACAGCTAAGGCTGAAATCACTGTTATCTGGTCCCAGGGACCAATAGTAGTAACCGTACTGTGAACAGATACCTGGAATAGGGTGAGGGATCTCCCTTGTGGGTCCCAGACGGACACTCTCACCAGCTCCTCTGCGGTACCCTTCAACAAGCGGACTCTCCCTTCTTCCCAGCTTCCATCAGGTATTTTCCTTAGCAACAGGATCTGGAATCTCTGTGCCCTCAGCATCTGCAACTGCCAAGGAGCACTCCAGTTTAGTGGTAGTATCTTCTTAGAACAAGGCACCCATCACCTGCCACGTGTGTGGGCCCAGCAAAGCATCAGTGTATCCTAGGCCTCTAGGCTCCTCAGCACCTGCCATGTGCTGAGGTCCAGGCCAGTTTTCCTGCATCAAACAGACCTCCTAGGGCGAGGCCTCTAGGGGGAAGAGAACTCTGCACAGTGTCCCCAGACCTTTTATTACCTGCCCTCAACCATGCCTCTGAGTCATCCTACTCAGGGATTGGCTAGGGTCAGGTGCATAGTCATAACCTGAGGATGGATCCTCCCTCACTGTATGCTAAGGCCTTGTTCACACCAAATGCAGATTCTTTTGGGATATTTATTTGCAAGTTCAATAGGAGAGAGAGGGTTTAGAATCTGTAGGATGCCCTTGGAAATACTTCAGAGGACAGCTTTCTCCCTTAGCAACAGCTAAGGCTGAAATCACTGTTATCTGGTCCCAGGGACCAATAGTAGTAACCGTACTGTGAACAGATACCTGGAATAGGGTGAGGGATCTCCCTTGTGGGTCCCAGACGGACACTCTCACCAGCTCCTCTGCGGTACCCTTCAACAAGCGGACTCTCCCTTCTTCCCAGCTTCCATCAGGTATTTTCCTTAGCAACAGGATCTGGAATCTCTGTGCCCTCAGCATCTGCAACTGCCAAGGAGCACTCCAGTTTAGTGGTAGTATCTTCTTAGAACAAGGCACCCATCACCTGCCACGTGTGTGGGCCCAGCAAAGCATCAGTGTATCCTATGCCTCTAGGCTCCTCAGCACCTGCCATGTGCTGAGGTCCAGGCCAGTTTTCCTGCATCAAACAGACCTCCTAGGGCGAGGCCTCTAGGGGGAAGAGAACTCTGCACAGTGTCCCCAGACCTTTTATTACCTGCCCTCAACCATGCCTCTGAGTCATCCTACTCAGGGATTGGCTAGGGTCAGGTGCATAGTCATAACCTGAGGATGGATCCTCCCTCACTGTATGCATCAGCCTTCTTTCTATTGTTCTTATATTGAAAGTGTCTGCTGTCATATAGCGCAGGGCACTGTTGAACCATACTTAGGAATCTCTCAAGGTCACCTTTTCCAAAGACAGGAAGTGACAAAGGAGGATTAGGTCATGAGAGATGACCACAGAGATTTTTTTTCTTTATGGTTTTTTTTCCCCATTGAATTGCATTGTGTTGCGTTTTTGATGCGTTCCAGAGCAGGTAAAATAGGGCTTGCCGCAGTTTTTTGACCTGCTCTGGTCTGGATCCGCACGCTGCGATGTGAACTGGAGGTCAAAATACCATAGGAATACATTGGACGCAGTTTTGATCTGGTCTGCACCTGCTCTGGTCCGGATCTGCTCCGCGCTTGGTGTGAACAAGCCCTAAGGCTCCCTTTTCCTCAGCAACAGGAGGAGCAATCAATCCAGCAGATTCAGGGATACCTATAGAATGCAGAGCTCTGTATAATCAGTATCCAGACTGGTTACAGTCCAGGTATCTCTAAATTGAATAGCGACATTTTAGAGGGCGCTACAAACATATAGCATACTATACTATGGCATAACATATACTGGAGTAACTGCTCCTTCAGAAAATTATCTTTATTACTAAATATACAGTACATTCCAAAAACAGTGGGTACATCGACTGCATTTAAACAGGAATGTATAAAGGTTTTGTTGCACTCCTTACCGGATATACCAGTAGCTGCGGAGGGTGCTCGTAGTGACTGTGGATGGCGCCGCTTGCTACATGAATCGTTTGAAAGGATGTCACCCGCACACAAAAAGTCCTTTCAGGATCACCAAGTGTTCATTTATTAAGAACCATATCAAATAAAGACAAGTGCTTTCAGGGCCGCGCAGGGTCCCTTCATCAGACTTAACATGTTAAGTCTGATGAAGGGACCCTGCGCGGCCCTGAAAGCACTTGTCTTTATTTGATATGGTTCTTAATAAATGAACACTTGGTGATCCTGAAAGGACTTTTGGTTTGCTGGTGACATTCTTCCAAACGATTTATTGAAACGGGGACAGCTGGGATTCCTGCCGCAAGAATCTGTTGGTTCTTGCCCCGGGGATCCCCCAAACTCGGCAAAGTCCACGTGTATGTGGCCTAACTACTGACTTTTTTCTTGGTTCGGTGCATGTCTCTGGGATGCCACTATTTGGGCATAGCATACATGTGTCATTTACAAGATGGCATGCATCCTCCACTGGGCCGGGATAGACCTGGCCTGTGGTCACCTTGATTAGATGCAAGATGCGGTATTTATTTGTATTTTCAGATTTGATAAAGAGAGGTTGGCCGTTTGGGAATACAATTTTTGTTTTTCATATAAGTGCGCTTATCCTGTATTTTCTTTAGGTCTGTGCACTCATTTTTCTAGATAAAACTTGAATTAAAAAAGTTCACTTATTTTAAAAATTCTAGTTCACACAAAGGAAGTGCCATTCTCCTACCAGCTAAACACATTGAAGCTGCTTAGAGTTGCTGTTTTCCAGCTCAGGTTGAATAATGAAATTCATATCCTTTAGTCTCTGTGGGCAATGTTGCCAGCAGCATCTCTTCCTTTTGCTGCAGTTTTTATACCCGATCCACGCCATGTTTATTAAGAATTTTATGAACGACTGAATTCTTGTGAATTTTCACTACGTTCTCTCTAAATAACTGCCTTCTCAGTGAGTGGGTAACAGGGCCTCTCTAGAAACTTGGGCCTCATTCACACTGGCATGCAGTTATATGCATAGGACATTTCTAACTAAATATACGTGCATGTAATGATTTTAGATGATATTCACACGGTGTGTTTATTTGCATTTGAGTTCTGTTTAGCTGCTTTTTGGGAAAATAGAAATCTGTGTGTCCAGGGACAGATTAGATACTCTGAATGCATATAAATGCAGGTACATTAAAGTTTCATGCACACAGCCATCTGGGGCCTTACAGCAGAAATTGGGAGGTATTCCCCCACCTGGGAGCCACAGGTACGGCTTGTAGCCACAAAAATCAATGTCTGTACACGAGTATACATTGGATTTGCATAAACACATGAATGCATATAGGTGCAGAACCGTCAACGCTAACAGTCTGTGCGGCCATACGCGAGAGAGTATTTACACACATCCGGCATATACCCATTTATTTTATGGGCACTGCACAACGCCTGTGGGTCCTGGGTGGGGAATTATGGCCTTACTTCCATTGTACGGCCCCAGCTGGTTGTGTGCATAAGCCCTTACATGCAGAACTTGAACTGGGAAGTATTAAGTTTTATACTTCCCAGATCAATTTCTTCTGTGTTTAAATAAAACTAATGCTGGAGGCGCTTGTGTATGAAGACTAATATACTGCATGAATATTAGGAGACTTTACTAGAGAACCTTACCTGGATCTGTGCCATAGATATGGAGATATGTCATACCTGTATAAGTGTCTAAATCATTCTTAGTGAGTCCATGGTGGGATTTCCTTGGCTATAATAACATATAAGTGATATGAGCAGTGATTGTGATTTTTCTCCAGACATTCACTTGTGCCGAATCAGTTACTGTAATATAAAACACATGCACCTGAAGGATTCACCTGCAGGGAATGTTTGGGGAATGTCCCGATTTATTGCCCTACAGTGCTGTATAATAAATATTGCACCCCTCCCATGCATTTTCATTTTGCGAGTAAGGTACAAATTACAGTGCAGTTTTTTTTATTCTTTACAGGTATTTATATAGCGCCAACAATTCACGCAGTGCTTTACATGTGCACATTGACATCAGTTCCTGCCCTCAAGGAGCTTACAATCTAAGGTCCCTATCTCACATGAACATACAGGGCCAACTTAGACAGGAGCCAATTAACCTTCCAGCATGATTTTTGAGTATGGGAGGAAACCCATGCAAGCACAGGGGGACATGCAATCTCCTTGCAGATAGTGTCCTGACCAGGATTTGAACCAGAAACCCCCAGTGCTGCAGGGCAGAAGTGCGAGCCACTATACCACTGTACTGCCCATCCTCAAAGATATTGGCAGTGACATCTTTCATGTAGCAGGTTGCCCCTAATTTGAATTGCAATTCAGGAACAACACAATTCAATTCTGGGAAATCTTATCTATAAACTGAATATGTACACTAGAAAAGTGCACGTACTCTTTCTGCCACACCTCCTCTGACCTAACAGATCCCGCCTTCTACCTCCACAGATGTATACTTCCCGAGATCCGATGCCTGCTGCCTCTAGGGATTGTTTACATCACGTGCTGAAAGTCCTCGCTTTCTTGGACACACCTGTGCAGTAGAACCCTGTAGACATCTACCTCCACCTTCCGGTACATGAGCCCCATTGACGACTATGGGGGTCTACTGTGCGCGCCGGGTCAGGAAAGTGAAGACTTGCAGTGTGTGATGTAAACAATCACCAGAGGCCTTGGGCGTTGGATTTCAGGAAGTGTGCATCTGTGTAGGGTGGGATATGTTAGGTCAGGGATGGGGGGCAGAAAGGAATAAAGCCATATTCCTCTTTTTAATTTTGACCAACTCCTGCTGTCTCAACCGAAATTCAAGTTGTGGTTGGCATTCTGGCACCAGCCGGCTTGACAGAAGTTGATTTTTCGGTTGACATTTGTCGAAGTAGTTGGGTGTGAAATTGTCGGCTGCACAGTTACTGCTTCCAATCAGATGCAGTCATTGTTCGAGTATTGTGATAGATGCCAGCAGAGATTCTCCTGCTGGGCTACTGTATTCTGACAGCCCGCACTCGACAGTTTATCCATTTTTCACTCCTTTGACAGAAATCTGTAAGGTCTTCCATTCAGCCCGCAGGTCTGTGCATGTATGGCCAGCTTTAATTTCACTTTGAAAGCACACTTTAACCAGTATAACACAGCTGTTGTCTGGCAGCATTTTCAGGAATGGCTCTAGGCACCCTTGTTCAGCCAACACACATTTAAAGAGCGCTGATGACAAATTAGAACCGTTTGTAATGTTGTGTTTTTCTATTGCAGGTGTGCCAGGAGTTAGTGGAAGAGTATGAACAAGTGAAAACTATTGTAAATACTTTAGAATCCTTTAAAATTGAAAAGCCGGCAGATTTCCCTGTTGCTTTACAAGATGAACCGGCGAGGGACCCGGCTGTCTGGCCTCCTCCAGTGCCAGCAGAACACAGGTGCGTGTATATAATGGTGAGGAGTACTGCTAGCACTAGATATCCCAGATGTTGGACATCTGTTTGGCTGCCTTTTAACCTTTCACACAAGCTATCTGCAAAGTAAAAACCTGCTGTTAAAATGGTTTTCTCTTTCCTTACAAAGGCTGTGCATGGTAAGATCATTGAGTGGGCGAAGAGTGCATATAGTTCCTAAAACAGTAAACCTTTTATATACTTGTACTTTACCCTAGAATAAGTGCTCAGACCAGGAGTTTCGGCTTAAAGGAGAACTATGACATGAGTGATTTCCACTCACCTCATAGTTCTAAGCCGACCTGTGACAATGAGACTGTCACAGGTTGGCTCAGTAGATCGGGAGGTGAGAGAACACATACCGGGTTCCCTCACCTCTCGATCCTGTCACGGCTCTCTGCCGTGACAGGGGGAGGGGCTGGATTCCCCTCTCCCCGCTCCGATCTGCCAGCGCGGACTGGCGGAACGGAGGGGGGAGGGGGCGGGTACAGCTGGCTCTGCCTCTAGATAGGCAGAGCCAGCTGTCACTCACGCAGCTGGGCGGATCCCGTCATCTAAGGCGGGATCCGCTGCTCCAGGTGCGGCGTCTCAGTATACCGCGAGCTGTAGCTCGCGGTATACTGAGCTTAGGGTAACGGGAGGACGCTAGTTTGTGTCCTCCCCTTACCCCAAGGAGAACTATGGGGAAAAACACCGACCCCATAGTTCTCCTTTTAAGTTCCCTTTGACATCATTGCGTTGCAGCACATGGTAATACATTACTGTGCATTGCAGTGCGCTTGGCAGCACTGTTGGATCTGTTGTGGTGCGTTAGGTAGAAAATTCAAATGAATGTACTTTCTTGTAGTCTGTAACACTCAAATCGCCACTCATTCTCATGCTGAATCCCCTCCTCAAGAGTATGCCAAGTGCAGGTACTGAACGCGCCTCCGCTCTAAACTTGCAAATCCCATACAATAACCACACTGGACAGTTCTTCATGAGTGTTCATCAAATGTAAAAACTTTTATTGAAAAGTAATGGAAACACCATCAGTCCTTCAGCATAGACCACCTACCTTTTAACACGTTCCACCCATCGGACTTAATCGTAGAGATATGGGTTGACTTGACGCAACTCGTGTCCTCAGACAGCTGGGTTCACAGACATGGTGTACAGATCTGATATGAGCTTCTCTGTACCTTGTGATTGCTTGGAAGACTACAGAAATAGCAAAGATGTCACCAGCACACCAAAAAGGTTTCAGCAAAAGTCTATTTAATGACAAATTGCCATTCGATTACAAGCGCTTTTGGGGCCTCAAGGGTCCATTCTGAGCCTGATGAAGGAGACCCCTTGAGGCCCCAAAAGCGCTTGTAATTGAATGGCAATTTGTCATTAAATAGACTTTTGCTGAAACCTTTTTGGTGTCCTGGTGACATCTTTGCTATTTTTGTGTTGTTCACAGTGCCATCCGTGGTCACTACAAGCACCCACCTGTATATACAGGTTAGCCACTGTTCCAGTAAGGAGTGCAGCAAGACATCTACTCTGCTTGGAAGACCAATCACAGATATAAACAGTGGAGTGTTTACATCTGCGAGCCCACCCTTTCCTCTTACAAAAGAGAAAATAATGAGTAAATCATACTTCGAGCCTCAACTAATTTCCAAGTTGAGATGATGGCCAGCACATTTTATAACTCCATCAAATGGCAGATACTCAGAGATAATTGGATGAGAAGAGGTGGGGGATTATTGATGGGAGGAGGCAAGCTTAATTGTGACTTAGAGAGAAGTCAAGGCTCTGCCTGGGCTTAAGATCTAAAGGGGCTCCAAACAGACACTGGGATCAGCTTTATCTCCAACACGGGTACTTGTGCCAGTGTTACCTAAAGCTAGACAAATGCGGCTGATTTCTGCTGAATCAGATGGAATTTGAGCTGTGGGTGGCCCTGTCAGCACCATCTGGCTCCTCCAAAAGTTGAAAAGCAGAAATTGACTTAGCACGATGGAAAAATTGCCAGCTGAACAGTGACTGCATCCTATCGGATATAGTCCATGTTTGGTTACTAAGGCAGCTGCATGTTTGGCTTGGATGAGGGAATCAAGTGATTTTTCTCTCGGGCCTATATACAGGTGAAACTCGAATAATTAGAATATCGTGCAAAGTTCATTTACTTCACTAATGCAACTTAAAAGGTGAAATTAATATATGAGATAGACTCATTACATGCAAAGCAAGATAGTTCAAGTCGTGATTTGTCATAATTGTGATGATTATGGCTTACAGCTCATGAAAACCCCAAGAACCCCAAATCCACAACCTCAAAAAAGTAGATTATTACATGCAATCAATAAAACAAGGATTGTACATAGAAAAATATCGGACCTCTGAAAAGTACAAGCATGCATATGTACTCAGTACTTGGTTTGGGCCCCTTTTGCAGCACTTACTGCAATTACTTTTGCACGATATTCTAATTATTCGAGTTTCACCCGTATGTATGGCTAGATTTAGGCACATTTGATGCCAGGTTAAGTTCACTTTACCTTTTCAGCCCTGTTTTATGATCTCATCATTTCATTTATATCGGTAACGTCAATGCTATCAATTTGGCCACGATTCACAAAACCTAAATCCATCATTATTTATCTGAAAGCTTTTACCGTCTGCTCACTGGAATCATGCGTCAGTTGAACCTTCGATCTGTTTGACCTTGTAATAAATACCTAAAGCTATTTACGGTGGACTCTGTCTATTTTTCTGACATGCATTTCCTTGCAAAAGCTTCATTTGGTGGTTTTGTTCAATCAATAGTATCTCCATTTGCTTGTAGGATTGTTACATCTGCTCACTGGGGATATTTTTATGAATTGTCTCTCGGTTAGTCTGTTTGATTCTCGATTATGTCTGCTAGCTGAATGATTCCGTCCACTGTGGTGTAATCCCTCTCAGAGCTACAATCTGCCATCTTTCATTTGATAGCAGCGTGTTGTTGCGGAGCTATGAGACAGACTGCTTTTAATATTAGATTCTGCTGTAAAGACATCATTTGTCTGGCATTGACATGTGGACAAAGTTACTGCCAAAAACAGCTTCATCTTGTGTTTTCCAGCATTTGTTCTTCAGACAGCTAAAGCGATCCATCTCTTTATTTTGTTTTAGTCATTTTTATTTGTGTGATATTTTCTGATAAGGTGGTAATAGATAGAGATACAATGGGGAACATTTACAAACGCAATTGGATCATGTGCATTTTGTATGCAAAAATGTTATCATTATTCTTTGGGTCTATTCTGTGTTAATGTGCTGACAAAAAGCGACTGTCTGCCTATTCTCCCGGTTGTGTATTTTGCAAGGCAATTGAACCGCATACCGAACCTGGAAGTGCTAAGGAGCAACTTTTTAGAGCCAAACCCCAGGAAAAAAAGGAATTTACACACTGCACTGAGTGTGTAAATTATCATTAAAAAGCTGTGTGTTGTGTGCGGAGGCCAACTGCAAAATAAAGAATGCTTGTCTTGCGGCACGCTATCGCCTCCACATAACGTTGAGGTTTCGGGCAATGAGGGAAGGGAGAGATACAGCTAGAAGCAGAGCTCTCTGGTCACATTACCCACCCCTCTTCACTACTTGCCCATTCACAAAGTGTCTTGTAATTTATCGTAGAATACAAGGCACTCTGTGATTGGAGGAGGAGACGGGGATGTGGCAATACAAAATACTGGGACATGGCTTTGTGCAAGTCTCTAGGTACGTGTTTTTAAAGCCCAACTCCAGAATTGATCTCATATCTTACTTGCAGCTCCCCTAATATATATGCCTTTAAAAAACTCTGGATTGATTTTCACATCCAACATTTTCTCTAGGAGATATACTGTATTATATTGCTGTAACATCATTTATATGTGCATAATTCACTCCCTATACTACGGCAATGGTTGGAGGATTATAACAAATGGCGCACATCATTTCCGAGATGAGCAGCAAAACAACTTTGCAGGTCCCCAGGGCAAGAAATAAACAGAACAAACATAGAAACCTGATACTTGTAAGGAGCAGAATGCTAGATGTGTGAGGAAGGGATATATTAATGTTGGGAAAGGTAAATTATTCATTATTCACTATTGATTGATTGTTGCTTGAAATGAGCTTTAAGGAAAGTTTTTTCTAACAATATGTAAAAAAAAACAACCTGTTTTTTATTTTTGAGAACCTGACTGACAGTGATCTAATAATATACAATGAGTGGAATTTATCAATACTGGAGCAGACAAAATCTGGAGCAGCTGTGCATGGCAACCAATCAGCATCCACCTTTCATTTTCAAGGCTTAACTGAAGAGAGAAGCTGATTGGTTGCCATAGGCAACTTCTCCGGATTTTGTCTACTCCAGTTTTGATAAATCCCCCCTATGTGTTAATAATGTGTAAATACTCTTCAGTTACAGATGGGCACTGTGACTATAGACTACAGCGAATGTATAAAAAGGGTGATAAAAAGTCATTTTGTAGATATAGCACCAGGTAAATTCACCCCCTTACACTTGTGTGTATATTAGCCTCCTATTAACCTTTTGGAATGGTGAAAGACGTATAAATTAGGGATGAGCCATACAACAACCATGCAATTCTTTCATGTCTTTTATTAACCATAATAGCAATTAGTGGATCTCAAGACAATTTATTTTTTTATTATTATTTTGATTAGCGGCTACAAGGAACGAATGGATATTTGCACATTGGAAATCTCTAAATTTTCTCCACTCTAATAAAATAATATTTGTGTTGATCTCCAAAAGCTCAGATTAGATTTCCTCTCATTTCCTGTTCCATTGACCTCTGTTACTGAGACAAGAAGTGAGGGGAGAGCTCCCCAACAAGGACATTAGACACCTGTAAGAGGTTAAAATCATTCTCCACTCTGTCCACACCTAAGGCCTTGTTCACACCGAAAGCGTGTGCGTTCCAGAGCGGTAGCTGCTGGAACGCACCGCGATCGCTGAGAAACTCCCCCTTGCGTTTTGGGAGGGAGTTTATCAGCGATCGCGGTGCATTCCAGCAGCGACCGCTCTGGAACGCACACGCTTTTGGTGTGAACAAGCCCTAAAAGAAAAAAAAATCCTGGAGCCTTACCCAAGATTTTGGGCATCTCTACATCCATTTGAAGCAGCTATAATAGTGCTTACACAAGATTATAAATGCAAAACATTCCGGTGCAAGGACCAGCTGAACATAATACATTTGTTTTGTCTCCTCAGGGCTCCTCCACAAGTTAGAAGACCCAACAGAGATTTAAAACCTTTGCGGAAGGAGTCTCCGGCAATACAGGCTCATGGACCAGTGGGCAGGGCTCATCCTATTTCAAAGAATGAGAGGCCCTCAAACCGAGACAGGGATGTGCGAGGCAGGGCGAAAGATGACAAGGTAAAAATTGTGTGCTTTTAATCTTCCACCACTAACCAAGTATGATATCTTTACTTTTCAAAGACTGTAAGACACAGAGCTTGCATACTGTAAGATTACTGCAGGTATGTAAGAAAACCAATTCCGTTTCTTTAAACATAAGCACTATGTAGGAAGCATTAAAGTGTATGCCTGGACAAAAAAAGAGAACATTCAGTACAGCTCTGCACATACAAATTCCATTTAAAAACTGCAATTGCACAAAAATACTTATTCATCTTGTCAGAAATCCAGCTAGCTCCTAATTTCCTGGGCAATCTGCCTCTGTTGCACTGAAATCCCAAGCAGTATTCTAAAACCTTCCCAGTGCTACTCTGTGAACAACAGAACACTTCCCTCTTATGTTATGAAGTTGAGAAAGGGATGTGTTCTGTGGTTAAGCAACAAGAGAACTGGGCAGAGATTATAAAGCTGATTGTGATTTCCATGCAGCAGAGGCACTTTGTTGTCATCTCAGATATGCAGTTAAAAGATCAGCAGATTCCTGACAAATCAACCAGTATTGTTCTGTACTCCTTATTTTCATAGCGACAAAACATGGGGAAATGTGCATGTACTGGAGAGATGTGCTGCATATGTGGTTTTTGTTGTTTATTTTGCCCACACCTACACTTTAATAAGCTGATAAAGTGTGCTGATAAAGTCATGAGATAAATGTTGCAAAAGTGTAACACTCAAGTTTTTAGTTTGTGAAACACCTTCATCCAAGAGTTCCACTAAAATCAATGGAAAAAGCATCTGGCACATAATTGTTAGACTAGAATATCAGCTAACGGTTTTTAGGCCTCATTCACAAAGACGTGCACAGCCATGCAGCATGCTTGTCTGTGCAGAAGCCTGTGCCCGAAAAAGACCAGTGCTGTATGTATCACCCAGATGTACAAGTTCGGGATGACTTATATCTGTGTGCAGCTCTGTCCTCTCATAGAGGTGTACAGGCCACTGCATGCGGCTACGCAGCACCTGTCCCTCCTGGTCACAGGCTTCTGCACGGGTGTGCACGCTGTACGTCTTTGCCTGTGTAGGTTAATGAGGCCTTAAGCTGAACACGCATATTATGTGAAGGAGAGAAAGGACATTCAGCTAAGATCCTCTAGCCTCAACCTATTAGAGTATTTGGCCAATAAATTGAAAACTGCTGACCAGGAGTTCCCCTGGGCTGTCATTACACACAGCAGGGGTGTCTCGGGTGTCACACAGAGCGGAGACCGGGTGACACCCCGCCGTGATGTCATCACATGTGCGGTCATCTACTTGACGCCTGCTGGCGGCCATCTTAGTGATGGACGCCAGCAGAGAGAGGAGGGGACGTTCACCCGGTGGGATGAGGTATGCCGGGTCTCTCCTGACACTGTCAGGCTCTCGGCCCATGACTGAGTGCCCGACTTTTTTGGTGACACCAAAATGATTGTCAGTCATTTTGGTGTCACGCCTCCAATGGCCCACACCCCCCTTGTGACGCCGCTGACACACAGACATGAAGATTGTCACTCAAAACAAGAAAAATGGGTGGGATCAGACAAGAGTCATCTTATATCATTTGGTACTTTAATAACTCAACCTCTTCTAAATTAAAGGAGAACTATGAGGGGATTGATTTCCACTCATAGTCATAGTTAGAGCCGACATGTGACAATGAAACTGTCATATGTCGGCTCTATTGATTGGGAAGTGAGTGAACGCATACCGTCGCTCGCTCACTTCCCGATCATCTCCCTGCAGAGTGCGGTGACTGTCAGTCATCGCTGACTGGAGGAACGGACAGGGGAAGGGGTGGGCACAGCTGGCTCTGCCTCTAGGTAGGCAGAACCCACTGTCAATCAGCCAGCTGGTTGGATCTCGACAGTACTGTGGGGATCTGACCCAACTTCGGCGCTCTCATTATATAGCGAGCTATAGCTTGCTATATACTGAGCTTTGGGTCACAGGGGGAGGTTAGTATATGTCCTTCCGTGACACTAAAGAGAACTATTGGATAAAAAGGTTACCCCATAGTTCTCTTTTAAATTTTACTTTACCCGAATACTCTGGATGGAGTTCTTTCAACTAGTACGTTTTTCTAAAAGTTGTAATGTGTTTGTTCTATTCACACATATTAATAGGTTGGGTGAGTTGCAGCAGATTCATCTTTTTTTTTTGTTTTATCCCTCTGGGCTCTCGGGATTGTGGGGCAGACTTGAAACTTAAGTGGTTTTTCACTTTCCATCAAAGAAGTGAGAATACCTTCAATATGATTGATTTGTTTCCAGGATACTTCTAACCTCTCTTAGAGCCACCAGAGTATTCAAAGCTGGTTTGTGTTCTGTGCCTGAATAGGGAGGTTCTGTATTTCCTCTCCAAAACTCTCTTAAAAATCTATGTATTACCATCACAGTAGCTGTTTTACCCTCTTGTGACTGCAACGATCGGGAATGGTGCACATGGCTATGCACTAAAGGCATTTTATTTGTACAACCCCACTGAATAAACATAAAAAAGTCATTGACAATGTGCAAGGTGCCGTAAAGTTTTGCAACTGGTTAAAAATTTTTTTATTTTCAACACAGTGAACTGAAATTGGATTGGCAACATTAGGATACAGCACTATGCACATCATTATTACTCTTACACAGCTGTATTAAATAAGCCCACCTGTTTAGTATTTATCTATAAAATGTATCGAATCCTAAAAACAAAAATATAATATTTAGCCTACAAGGCCTTAGGTGTGGTGGTTGCGTTAGTTTGCCCCTTTTTTAGGCTTTTTCTCCTTGATCCTGCCAGTAACACATTTTCTGTCCTGCGGTGACACAACACTCACTTACCATACTGTATCTATGGAGAAGGAGCTTTGACACCATAGGACAGGGCTATAATAACGTCCCCCTCGCCTCTTTTCCTTTACATAGAGGGGAAAGGTTCTGTAGTCCTCCATATAGTGAGCAACAATATAAATGTTTAGAGTGCAGCACAGGGAGTCATCAGTTGACCAGATTTATGCCAGGAACCTTGCAGTTAACCCCCCTCACTGCAAGGGCTAAATGCTCATTTAGTTTAGGGAGATAGGAATAAGGACAATACTTGCCTTATTCCTTACTTCCCCAGCACTCTGTGCTCTTCTCTGCTCAATCACGCTCCTTTGATTTGGATGGATGCGACTGGTCGATCACTGAAGAGGATCATCTTTGAAGGACTGATCATATGGAGAGATAGAAGTCTGGGGAATAAGGTATTTCACCTTTTTTCTATCCCTTATCCCTTATACCAAACAGACATCTAACCCATACAGTGCAGAGGCGGCCCCGCTGCAAGGTTAAAGTTGGCCACTGTTATAGTACTTTTCGTTCAAACTGTGCGTGGAAACGGCATAGATGGGCGAATAACCTGCTGGGCTCTTGTATTCTGAGAGCGCTGGGTGGGCCATCACTGTTTTGCTCCTTCAATTTTCTGATTGAGGACTTGCTCACACCAGCAGCTGTGCGGTTGAGGGTGAGCCTGGACAGTGCCAATGCGCTCGATCAAGCCTCATCGCACCGTTCCTTTTTTTAAAATTACAACTTTATTGAAACGTTCCAAGTGACATTTCATAAAATTCTATGGGCACACTGGTGCGATACGGTGGTACCATGTCTCACTGCAGTGTGCGTAAAAATTTTTTTCTACTGCATGCTGTACTTTTTTTAAGTGCACACCACCGCAACATGGTAGCGTGAAATGTGCCCACCCGTTACTAGACAAATTGCTTTGTCTTGCGTTCGGGCTGCGCTGGAAAAAGTGGTCATCCAAACCCGAACACATATAGTTGGTGTTAACAGGCCCTTAGGGATGCCCGACATAAGGCTGTCAACAGGGCAACCCATTGAGCGAAATTCGTGCAGTGTATGGACATCTTAACTTTTATACTAACCTTGAATTTAGCCTTTGGCCCCTTTCACACGAGCTGGTCAGGAGGGGATCTGTGCACAGATCGAGGCACAATCCGGTCCAGTGAAACTGTTCTCTGATCCGTTTGTTCTTCCGGACCTGCCCGGAGTTGGGGGTAACCGAGTGTAAACAGACGCCCATCCGTTTGCACATGGCTGCCGATAGACTTACATTGCGCATGTGATTGGGTTTGCCTGAAAAACCTAATTAGACTGCCCATGTGAAAGAAGCCTTAAGAGACCCATAGGGTCCAAATAAGAGAAGTTAGTTTTTTGGGGCTTTACATACCATTTCATGTCTTATTCCTCTCTTGTGGTACAGATTTAGATATCTGATTTGTATGGTAAACACTACATTTCAGAAAAGCAAATTGTCTTCTTTGCTTGACATTTTTTTTTGTTTGGCAGTTTAAAAAAATATATATTATAAATGTATAATTCTGTTTTTATAGTTGTTATCCATAGAGAAAACACAGCCAACAAGACATTGCAGGAATAATTATAGCCTTTGTTTAACATTACGTTTCCCAGGCAGCGGCCTCTCTGGAAAAGCTTGGCAGGATTTTCAGTTATGATGTAGACTGTTACTACTAGCAGAAATCTCCCTTTCCTGTTCTGTCTGTAGCATAGCGTAGTTCAGGTGCGTGTTACGATAAACTGATGACGCTGCGGAACCATATAAAATAGAACCAAACACGCAGCATATTGATCAGCGATGCTCAATGAATGCCACTTGTCTAGCAGCATCTGCTGTGCATTTTGTGTATCTGACAGGCCTGTGGTGGTGTTCCAGCAGTATTTCCCAATGATAACATCTGAGAAATTACACAGAAGGCACGAAGAAACAGAATTTTATATGGTCAAGGCAGTATTTCCAGAACAAGCTGAATGTATAATACTCCCATCTGATTTTTTTTTTTTTTTAATTTAATGCTCATGTAGTAATTTCATTTTAAATTTCCAAGAAAAAAACATCTGAGTTACAACATTCACATAGTCACACCTGAATTGAACACATTTCTTGAAAAATGATAATGGTCTCATATATTCCAATGAGTG